GGCCCTCAATCCCTTTCCCGTACCCATTTCCGTGACTGTTCTTCTCCATCTCCTTCCCTTCCCCATTTCCGGCGGGGGGCGGGGGGTGCTCTCTCCCGTCCCCTCCGTGCCCTCCTCCCCGCTTCCCTTCCCTGCGGCCCGACCCCCTCCCTCCCCTCGCAGCGGTGCAGCGCGGCCGCATCCCGCACTCGCTGCCGGGCGCCGTGGCCGCCTCCTCCGGCAGCCCGCCGGGCTCGGCGCTGGCGGCGGCGGCGGCGGGCGGAGACCTCTTCCCGGGGCAGCCGGTGTCGGAGCTGATCGCGCAGCTGCTGCGCGCCGAGCCCTACCCCGCGGCGGCCGGGCGCTTCGGCGCGGGGGCCGGCGCGGCGGGCGCCGTGCTGGGCATCGACAACGTGTGCGAGCTGGCGGCGCGGCTGCTCTTCAGCACCGTGGAGTGGGCGCGCCACGCGCCCTTCTTCCCCGAGCTGCCGGTCGCCGACCAGGTGGCGCTGCTGCGCCTCAGCTGGAGCGAGCTCTTCGTGCTGAACGCGGCGCAGGCGGCGCTGCCCCTGCACACGGCACCGCTGCTGGCCGCCGCCGGCCTCCACGCCGCGCCCATGGCCGCCGAGCGCGCCGTGGCCTTCATGGACCAGGTGCGCGCCTTCCAGGAGCAGGTGGACAAGCTGGGCCGCCTGCAGGTCGACTCGGCCGAGTACGGCTGCCTCAAGGCCATCGCGCTCTTCACGCCGGGTGAGAGGCGGGCGCGCGCCCTGCGCCCCGAGGCCTCCACCCCCAGGTCCCGGGGTCCCCGGACCCAAGGCTGGCTCTGGCTGGCCCCGTGCCTCGGGCTCCCACAGCCGCTCTCCCTGACTCCCAGGCTCCCCGAGCCACCGCCCCGCCGCCCCCTCATCAAGGTGTTCTTGCTCGGTGAGGGGTCGTGGCGGGGGGGGAGGGGGGGTGTCCTCTGACACCTGGTTCTGGCCTTCATTCCCTGATCTCTGTCCTTCCTAAACCCTCTGACCCACTCCGCCGACTTAGGGTTCTCTTCCCGCACGCACGCGAGGCTGCCCCACTCCCTGGGTCCCAGGCCCCCAACCCGCCCCCTGGGTGGCGTCCGCTAGGCTCGGGCCACGCTGCACGCGTAGGGGCGGGGCTTGGAGGCCCCTCCCGCCGAGGGGCGGGGCTGTCCGAATACCGGCCTTGCCCTGAGTGACGGCAAAAGCCGCACCTTATTCCGGGGACTGGTGGCCGGCTGGCTCTGCGCTCTGGATGGCGCAAGATCCCGCTAGGTGTCTCCCTGGGGCCAGGGATGCGGCAACCATACCCAAGCCTCTGGGACGGGCCTTGCATCTGATAAATATGGCTTTGTCCCTCCTCCTTTCCCAGAAGACTGCCCCCCACCTTCACGGCCCCGGCTAGATGCTGTGCCATGCTGTGCCGGTCACTCACAGCCCGGGCTTCTCTGGGCTGTCTGAATATCGCCTCGGGGCTTTGCCTTACTCCCCGAGTTCCCTCCCCAGCTTCCCCTTGAGCTTGATTAGAACTTGTCTCCGGGCCAGGCATCTCAGTCGGGTGGGTCCCCCTGCACCCTTGAGACATCACTGCCCCTAGCCCTGTGTCATCGCCCTTAGATGAGGCCACCTCAGTATCTCTAGGACCGACACTGCCTTAGATACTTCTGTTTGTGTCCAGGTCCCATCTCCCACCCCGAGTGCCCGGTCCTTCCGTACTCACACCCTGAGTGGTGGCCCCGTCACCCCTGGGGCCCTGCATCGTCCCGCCACCTCCCACCCCTGTCTCACCTTGCCCTTGTGCCCCCAGATGCCTGTGGCCTCTCGGACCCCGCGCACGTGGAGAGCCTGCAGGAGAAGGCGCAGGTGGCCCTCACCGAGTATGTGCGGGCCCAGTACCCGTCCCAGCCACAGCGCTTCGGGCGCCTGCTGCTGCGGCTGCCCGCCCTGCGCGCCGTGCCCGCCTCCCTCATATCCCAGCTCTTCTTCATGCGCCTGGTGGGCAAGACGCCCATCGAGACGCTGATCCGGGACATGCTGCTGTCGGGCAGCACCTTCAGCTGGCCCTACGGCTCGGGCCAGTGAGCGCCGGGCGGGCGCCGGCCTCCGGGCAGGGAAGCCCGGCCGCCACGGGGACCCCAGGTGGAGGACCCCGGCTGCTGTCTTCGGACTCTTGTTTTTTTAAAGACTGTGAAATGTTTGTCTTTTCTGTTTTTTAAATGATCATGAAACCAAAACGAAACTGGTGGTTCAGACTCCAGCTTTGTCCTCCCCACAACCCCTGGCCAAGATGGGGCCTAGGGCCTGAGGGGCCAGCGGTGGGGACCTCGTGGGCGTGGGGTGGGCTCCCCTGGTGTGATGGACAGAGGCCTGGCATCTGGACTGCAGGGGCAGCCCCAGTGGGCAGTGGTGGCGCGCCCCAGGTGGGTCCTCTGGACATGTCATCCCCGTCAGACACTACATGACAAATGAATCAAGGCCACTAATAAAAATGTTTCCTGCCTGCACGACCCAGCATCTTTGTGAGGGGAGCGCGGGATGGGATGGGGCCTGCCGGGAGCACCCACACGCAGCCATCTGGAATAGCCACAGCCTAACGAGAGCCCTCCTTGCTGCTTTTGTTAGACAGTTTTGTGGGGAAACAGGCTGGGGGCAGGGTGTGGGGCTTGAGGTCAGCCAGTCAGCCCAGCAGGTGGCTCAGGTTCAAATTGAAGCTCTGGCTTGGGCTGGGAGCTTTGCGGATTGACACATGCCCTGAACCAAACGGTGTTTCACCGTTCATCACGGTGTCTGGGCCCCAGTGTCCTCCGAGAAACGTCTGGGGCCAGCTTTTTTTTTAAAGATTGGCCCTGAGCTAATATCTGTTGCCAATCTTTTTTCTTCTCCCCAAAGCCCCCCAGTACATAGTTGTGTATTCTAGTTGTGCTATGTGGGACGCTGCCTCAGTATGGCTTGATAAGCGGTGCTCGGTCTGCGCCCAGGTTCTGAACCAGTGAAGCCCTGGGCTGCTGAAGCAGAGCATGTGAACTTAACCAGTTGGCCACAGGGTGCTTCGTGGGCTAGTTCTTTCCCAGCCCAGACACAGCCCTCCATGCCCCTGGCCACAGTGATTGGTTCAGGGAGGCCCAGAGCTGGCCAGTGAGATTGAGTGGCAGGATTTGGGACTAGGAGGATATAATCAAAGCAAAGCAGAGGCAAAAGACGAACATCAATATTGCTGGATAACTTTCGAGCTCCTGGATCAAGCCATACCTGAAACCATTAGCCTTCAGTTTCAGTTCCATGAGCTGACTTCCCCTTTTGTGCTTGAGCCAGTTTAGGTATGGTTTCTTCTCACACATAACTTAAACACTGTTTCCGAGATTGGCATTTGGAAGGCAGGGACCTCTAAGGATAGACTTTGAAATGTGGAATTCACTCAGTTGATACAGGGTGACGCAGGTCACCAGGAACCCTGCCATCCTGGCCTTGGAAGTTTGTGCCCCAGCTCTGTGGTCGTTCCCAGGACTGTGGCTCTAGGGGGTGGGTAAAGGAGGCTTGGCTAGTGGTGGGGGGCGTACCCCTGGTCCTGACTGAGGTCTTGCCAGGCAGACAAGCCGTCCATCAAAGATGCCCTTCTGAAACAGTGAGAGAAGAACTCCGGCCTCACGCTGCAGTCAGGGCCGGCGCTCAGTCCAGGAAGCAGTCCCAGTCCTCCCAATGCTCCCCGTGAGCGCTCCCAGCCTCCCCCATGTCCACCTCGGAGGGGGCCTGGGAAGAGCGGGGAGTGAGGCTGCTGCCCGTGGAATGAATGAGGGTCTCGTGATATGCTCTGCACCCAGAAGGGGCCTGGGATGGATAGGCTGCAGGGCTCCCAGTGGAGGCTGTACTGGCTTCTGCTGTGGATCAGCATCTTCCACGAGGTCCTGTGGGTAAGTGAATGTGTCGCTCCAGTCGGGCTGGACAGCAATGCCCCATTTCTCAGATTCACAGGACATCTGAGGACTAGCAAGCCCATTCCAGTCCCCAGGTCAGTCTTGCGTGCCTGTTCAGACCTGACTGCTGAACTCCTACTTCTTCTACAAAACCCTACCGATATGGCCCCCCTGCAAAAAGACCTCTTGAGCCTCCTTGGTTGTTAAGGCTGCCATCCTGCCCTCTGTTATTGCTCTATCACATTGGGCCCAGGGCTGTCTTCCCTGGGGACAGGGGCTCCATGAGGACTGATCTCGGACTGAGGCCTCTCTGTGACCCTGTGGCTGGCACTGCCTTTGCTGCCTGCAGTCTGCCTCCCTGTGGCTCCCTCGGGAGGCCAAGACTCAAAGAGGGCCCAGGGGGTCTGGCCTTGCCCATGCCCCACCCACCTGGGCCCTGGCATGGGGTGGACACCGAAGGACCATCCTCAGACCAGGCACGTGAACTGGGCTCACAGCACAGCGGCGACCATGGCTCAGCCTGTGCCGCCCGGGAGCCGTGGACGAGTTTAGGGGCCCACCTACCCGCGCTGGCGTCAGGGCTCCTGGGCCGAGCCCACCCTCGCTGGGCTGTCCCCAGCATCGCACCACAGGAATTCTCCAGGACGCAGCCCCACAAGACTTGGGACCCTCCGCCCGGCGCACCCTGTGACCAGCCCTGCGGGAACTCTGGCCCTGGGGCTCCCTGCCATGGCCGGCCCAGGAGGCGAAGCTGCAGGGGCCCTGCGCTTCCCACCGGACAGCCCCCGAAGGCTCTGCGGGGAGAAGGAGCCCCTGGACAGACGAGGGTCCACACCCTGCCCGGAGTCCCTCTCTCAATACCCGATTTTCTTCCCTCTAGAAAATGGAAGAACAGGGGCCGGCTCCGTGGCCGAGTGGTTAAGTTCCCGCGCTCCGCTGCGGCGGCCCAGGGTTCGGATCCTGGGCGCGGACATGGCACCGCTTGTCAGGCCACGTTGAGGTGGCGTCCCACATCCCACAACTAGAAGGACCTGCAGCCGGGATATACAACTGTGTACGGGCAGGGGGTGGGGTTTGGGGACATAAAGCAGAAAAAAAAAAAAAAAGAAAATGGAAGAACAGATTTTTGGTGCCAACAGAGTGAAATCAGGAGTAGATATTTAATAAACGTTTATTCCCCTGGGATGGAAAGCAGGACCTAACTTAGGGGACTGACTGAAACCTGGGGTCCCCATGGGGTCAGGGCCGGGGGTCCCAGACAAGGTCCTGGGAGGACTTCCTGGAGGAGGGGCCCTCAAAGCTGAGCCTCAAAGGCCGAGGCATCGGGACTCAGGCGGGGGGACAGCAAGGGCTGAGGCCTGAGGCGGGACGAGAGGCCAGGGCAGAGTGGGACGTGTCCCTGTGCCTGGGTGCCAGGACGCTCAGAAGTACACAGAGCCCTCGCTGTCTCCTTGCTCGTCGAACTTCCGGATCTGCGTTTTGAGGTGCCTCAGCTTGCCCTTCAGGTAGCGGCAGCGAGCCTGCTTGTCCAGGAAGCTGGGGTCCTGGGCAGGGCAAGAGCCGGGAAGTCCTTGTGGCAGTCTGGCCTATGGCCCTCAAGCTGTTCGACTTTTTGCGTTTTCCTCTCCAAGCCTGTTTTCCTTCCTTGACACTGGGCTCGAGTGTCCCGGCCTCACAGGGGCCTCAGGGACACAAGGCCAGGCTGTGGGCCTCAGGAGGCCTGACTCACCATCTGCTTCTTCTCAAGTTCCCTCCAGATGCGGGCAGCGACGTGTGCCTCCTTCTGCAAGGGGAGAAGGAAGACGGGGGCTCAGAGGAGCTGGACCCGAGGAGGGATGGAGAAACTGAGGCTCCGAAAGACAAAGTAACCCATCTAGGGAGGACCTCAGGGGCTGACCTTGACCCATGCACTGTGGTGCCCACCCAGCCCTGTGGAGGAAGAGGCCTGGAGACCTGGAGCCAGTGGGAGGCCCGGAGGCCGTGGCAGGGATCCACCCGGTGGCTGACCTGGCTCCGGGGCGGGGGCAGTGAGCTGAGCAGGGCCTCCAGCTGCCGGAGCTTTGCCTGTGCAGCGCCCACCTCCTGCTGGAGCTCCAAGAACTCTGGGTACTGGTCCTGGAACACTGCTGCGTAGCGGCGCCGGCCCCGCTCACTATTCACTGCTGGATACTTACTTTGGGATTGAAATGGGGTCACAGCGTGAGTGTAAAGAACCCTCCCTTTGCCCTAGTCAATGTAATTAGTTTTCCTTTGTCCATGCTAGGCTCCCTGCCCCAAATGTCCTTTTAGTTTTTACTGTTTGGCAAACTCTTATTCACTTGTCAAAGCCCTAGCCTCAGTGCCCCTTCTCTGTTCCCAGGCATCAGGAACCACATGGGGGACACTCACAGCTCATAGTCGGGCACTGGCTGGGGCCTAGGCATACGCCTCCCAGGGATGGTTCCAATAGACTTCTTGGTGCCAAGGACGGGGGAGGGCAGCTCATCCTCAAATACAATCTTCTTGGGCCTTGCCCTGTGCGTCCCTGGCTGGGGCTGGCACAGACGGCAGGGAGCGCTGGCTTCCACTCGCTGCAGACGCCGCAGGAATCAGGGTTTGGAGTTAAGGAGGGAATCGGGAAGCCGGGATCCCTCAAACTGGGGGGAAATGAAGCCCTGGCCTAGGCTCGGCCTGGGGACCTTCCTCCCGTTCAGACTCACCGGGGGCCCAGGGCCGGGCGGGAGGGTCTGCAGGGCCCCCGGGGCGCCGCGGGTCTGCCGGGGCTTCCGGGCGGGCATCGGCCTCGGGGGGGGGCCGCTCGGGCGTCCCCGGGGCGGAGGGCGGGTCCTGCGGGGGCCGCGGGGAGCCGCGCGCGGCGGGCGCGGTCGGCGGGCGGCCTGCGGACACCAGGGAGGACGCGCCTGGAGGGGCTCGGCGGGCACGCGCGCGGAGGCGGGCCCGGCCCCCTCTATTTGCATAGACGCTCGCGATTGGCCCTCACAGCACCCCCTCCCCCAGGCCCCGCCCCTGGCTGCGTCACCCGGCAGGACGCTATGCAAATAAGCCCCGTCGACACGGCGCGTCGGGCCCGGTTCACGTTAACCCCCGCGCTGCCGCAGCGTCGCCCGCTAGGGCGCGCGGAGCCCTCGGACACCACCCCCGAGAAGCGCCCCGGACTGCCGCCCCGGCTGCAGGCCGCACGGGCCGCTCCCGCCCGGGGTCACCTGTCCCAGCGTCCGGAACTCCGAGCCTGGGTCCACTCCCGGGGAGGCGCCGGAGTCCTAGTTGTGCATTAACTGCAAAGTTGGACCCGACTGGCAGGGTCGCTCCCCAGCACGGGGGCGGGGCTGGCGATGAGGGGGCGGGGCCTGGCGGGCGAGAAAGCGGAGCCACACCCTAGAAGCGCAGGTTCGCGTCCGACCAAGACACAGACCTGTTGTGTGTTTGGGGCTGAGCCTCTCTGACTCAGTTTGTCTGAAAAACCGGTGGTTTGGGCGCACTTGCACTTATCTATTTACTCAGCAATTGTACTTTTTAAACATTTCTTTAAATAATCGCTAGAGGTATGTTTAGAAAATTCAAACAATAGAAAAGACACGTAGGCCAAAAGTGAATTTCTCGCCTTCCCCTGTCCCCAGAAGCAGCAGCTAATTGTGTCTCCTTCTGGGGAAATCCTAATTAAATGACAAGCAAGTATAAATATTTTCCTCACGGCGGAAGACACTGAAAAGATATTCACGTGCAAATTTGCTTGGCCACTTGTGGGAGGATTCTCGGCCGGGTGACCCTGGAGCGGAACTGGCCGGCGAGGGGACGTGCCCTCTTCATTTGGAAGGGGGCTGCGGGCTGGTCTCAGTGAGGCTGGCCTAGTGTGAGCCTCTGACCAGCAGTGAGGGAAACGCCGGTTTTCCCACAACCTTTGCAGCCCTGATGTTCTCACGTTTTCCTGCAAATTGTATTTTTAGAGTTTAAATCTTGCCTAATCTGGTGAGTGAAAAAGTTTAGAAACGATTCGTATTTCTTTTCTTGCTTATTTACTGCAAATCTTTTTTTTCCTGTTGATTTTTAGGAGCTCTTCATATATTGAGGAAGTTAGGTTACCCAGCTAGTCTATCTTCTTCTTCTTTTTGAGGAAGACTGGCCCTGAGCTGACATCTGCCACCAATCCTCCTTTTTTGCTGAGGAAGACTGGCCCTGAGCTAACATCCGTGCCCATCTTCCTCTACTTTCTATGTGGGACGCCTGCCACAGCGTGGCTTGCTGAGCGGTGCCATGTCCGTACCTGGGATCCGAACCGGCAAACCCTGGGGCCACCAAAGCGGAACGTGTGAACTTAACTGCTGTGCCACCGGGCCAGCCCCTGAATTCCCTTATTGGAGTAGCTTTTTAGTTGGTTTGCTTGGGTCTTTCATACAGACAGTTGTATCATCTGCACATAATTTTGCCTCTTCTAATTTTCCAATGTCATTTTTTTTTCTTGTCTAGTTGCATCAACTGGCACCTCAGGACAATGTGAAATCACTGGGGGAGGCGGGTGGACGGTCGGCATCCCCTCCACCTCCTCACTTTGACGGCAGAACTTCCAGTATTTGCCCGTTAAACTCAACGCTTTCGCTTGAAATTTTTCCGTTAAATGAGGAAACCGTCCATCTATTCCTTATTGTTTTAGAGAGGTTGAACAGTACAAAGCCTGCTTTCCTCCATATTCCCTGCCCACGAGTTTGTTTTCCGATGCCCTAATGTGGCTGTTGCCAGGCGTTCTAACATTGAACCGTCTCTGCATCTCAGATGGGAGCCTTCTTCTGAACTTTTTTAAAAAGTTGCCACTAGAGCTTATAAAAGGTTCCATCTGGTGGCTTTGCCCCTGAGTCGATGGGGGTCCCACAGTGCCTGCTCACACTCCTGTGAGTCTGGGACACCCCCATGCACCTGTCACCTGCCCTCCCCGAGCTCCCTCCATCACGCTCCCACAGGCCCTGCCCCGTGTCTGGAGTAGGGGTGAGCAGAGCCCAGGGGACCAGCGGTTCCCCTGGGACTCCCACTCTGTTACTTCTTCCAGGGTCCCAACTCCCGTGCCCACCCAGTTCTCGTCTGAAATGATCAGACTAAGACCTGGGCAGGGCAAGGCCTCCAGAGACCCTCATGTGTTTGTTGACTGACTGGGTGAAGCCTCCGTGGTTTCCTGAGAGCGGTGGGGCTGTGTCTGGGCTAAGACCTGTCCCTGAATTATCACCTTTAATCCCTAGGAAGGCCCAGCACCGAAGCTTCCTCCTCTAGGCTGACCTCCAGGCATGGCCCCACAGGGCTGAAGGCATTGTGTTTGGCTCTGACTGTACCAGACTAGGGGCTCCTGGGGCTTCTTGGGGCCTGACCTTGTCCACTGTTGGGTGGTAACGAGGGAGAAATGGGAGAGGGTTGCTGAGTCACTACCCTCCCAGCCTGACCGTCTTCCTCCCCTGCTCATGAGCTGTCTGTGTTTCTCCAAAGACCCTCCCATCTTGCTGCCCACCCTAAAGGGCACCCTCGGACAGGGTGGAGGGCAGACAAAGGACAGAAGGATGAGGCGGGCCAGGCCAGGTCTTTATTTGAGTTTGGGCATGATCCGGATGAAGAGGATCGTGCTGATGAAGATGAAGCAGACTATAATAAGCATGGCCCAGAGCAGCCAGTTGACCGACTTCTGTGTGTGCTGTTCCAGCCGCTCTGATTCTGTCTTCAGCTTTTCCAGGTTCTGGTCAGCCATCTTGAGTGAGTGTGACAGGGTCTGTGGGTGAGGTGGGGAGAATATCAACAGGACTGGGGCCAACTGTGGCCTCCCCCTAACACCCTGGGGCAAAGTCTGCACCTCTTGGCCCTTGTTGGTGCCGTTTCCTCTGCTGGGAATGCCGTTTTTGTTTTCTACCAAACTCCTATTTCTCCAGCCAAGCCCCAGTCACCATTCCCCTCTGCTGGGAAACCTTCTCAGATGACCCAAGGCAGAGAGTGCAGAGTTCCCACAATCCTCACACCTGGTTGTCCTTCTTGATGACACTCTGGGCGGCCAGCGTGTTGGTTTTGAGGCTCCGGGCCAGGCCTAGCATCTCCTCTGCCAGCTTCTCCTGGAGGCTCTGGTGTCGCTGCAGGACGAGGTCTAACTCGGCTGCCGACTGCTTCTCATTCCCTGGCCTGGGCCCTGCCACCCCGCTGACCCCACACAGGGGTGGACAGGTGGGCACGAGATGGGGGGGGAGGGGAAGAGACCGACATGTGCCCAAGGAGCCCAGAGGTTATGGCTCCAGCCACTGCCCTGCTTGGGGCTCAGTTATCCCTTCTTTGCTCTGGCTTCTGGGAAGAGAGTCCCCAGAAGGGGCTGCTGATTGGTGGTTTAGGTGCTCACGGCGCCTCAGTGGCCCCAGGTTCATCCAGCCCCCCGCCCCCTGGTGCTGCCCCAGGGCTGAAGACACTCACGTTCTCTTCCTCACGTCCAGCTCGGGCTCTGGAAGGGAAACAGGCCCAGCAGAAAGAAGGAGGGGTTGGCCTCCTGCCGACTGGCCTCCTGACCACTGCCTCTAGCAGGCCTGCTGCTCATGGCGCCCCTTCAGTCTTGGCTGCGGCCTGGTGGGCTCCTCATCACGCTTCAGAGCCCGAGCTCAAATGCCCCCTCTTCTCAGAAGTTTCCTTGCCTTGCTCTGGACTCCTCAGGCCCCAGGTCCCTCCCTCCAGCTGAACCTTGGCCCCATGGGCTGGGGGTGTCCAGCTCAGTTTCCTCTGGGGTCCACTTCCTCTGTCCTAGCCCCCGCTCCAGGCATAACTCAGTGACCCTCCCGGGACACTTGGCCTGGGCTGTGAGATGAGGCTAGGCACGGGGCACGTGGGGCAGCAAGGACATGTGTCCTGTCCCAGGTAGCTGGGCCCCAAGTCCTGTTCTGCTCAGGCTGACTCACCTCCGGCAGAGTCCTGTGGCAAAAAGGGAGGGGCATGAAGTCACCCACTTTGTTATGGCCCCAAACCTGTCCTTTCTGCTCCTGAAACTCCCCACCCTCAGTCAGGGCCCTGGGCAAGTTCCGTGACCTATGAGCCTCAGTTTCTTCATCTATAAACTGATAACAGCTCACATTTTGAAGGGTTTACCTGATGCAAGTAAAGTGCTCAGAAACGCACTTGTCCTCCTATTTTACGGAGGAATAAAGTTGTCTGAACCAAACATATGTTATTTTTGCCCTGTACCAAACTCCTACTCACCTATCCATGCCCCGGCCACAGCATCCCTCTGTTGGGAAGCCTTGTCTGATGGCCCAGGGCGTAGGCTCTTGGGCCCCTAGGGTCCCTGCACCTGACAGTGTTTGTTGTTCGGGCCACCCCCAGGCATTGAACTCCTGTCACTGACCAGAGGGCTCTCAGGACCAGAAGGGCCCTACCGTGCCAAGCAGCTCGTCCCGCATCTCGTTGGTGTACCGTGCCCGTGACTGCAGATGCACTGTCTTCGTGGCAGGTATCCGCTCCCTGGCTGTGGTGGGCACGCGGCCAGGGGCCAGGAATTGGTTGGCTAGTGCCTTCTCGGAGGAGGAGGTCTGCAGAAGAGGGGCGAGGGTCACCAGAGGGCAGGGCCTGGGGACCCAGGGGAGTGGTGATGAGGGCTGAGGCAGCGGTGGTGGCCCTGCTTACCAGCTTCTCTGCCTGCAACATCCCCTTCAGAAAATCGACCTTGCGGGAATACTCATTGATGACCTCGGAGGCCGGTTTGCTGGAAGGCGAGAAGCGGACAAAGACGACCTGCCCGCTGGCCCAGTTCAGGGCAGGTGCCTGCAAGGGCCCTGAGCTCTACCCCCACTCCGGATGTGAAACCTCTCTGGCCGCCAACACTCACCTCGCCTGGGCTTTCAGGGCTTGCAGCATGTCCTCAAGCGCTCCCACGTACTGGGGAGGGAAAGTGGGGTATCAGCCCGGTCCCCCACTTCCACCCTTCCCCATCCTGCTCAAAGGCGTCAGAGCCAATAAGGGGCGGGGCTATGGTGGGAGGGGCCAAGCACCAAGGAGGCGTGGCTAGAGGAACTCCAGAGGAGGGAGCTGCAGGTGGACGTGGCGGAGCCGACCGGAAGGGGCGTGGCCAGGGTGGCAGTTGGGGCAGGGGAGTTGGGCTCGGTGCCTGCCAGCTCCGGGACCACCGTCGGGGAGTTGGGCTCTACGCAATCCCGCGGGCTCCCCTCACCTTCTCCAGACGCCACTCGTCTGGGTCCCTCTTCTCCGCTGCCATCACCTCGCAGCGGCACAGCAGCCGCACCAGGTTGAGCTCCAGCCTCGACGCCGCCATCACCCCCACGGTGGTTCCCCGCCCCTTCCGCTGGCGCCATCTCAAGAGAGGGCGGAAGTGCCTTCACTTGGCTTCCCTCTGGGTTGCTGTGCTCCACTCGTTTGCCGTTCCATCTTTGTTTGGGGCGGAAGTAATGTCTTCAAGGAGAGGAGCCGTTCAGTCCGTAGTTACTCAGGGCTGAATCGCCTGCTTTTCCTCGTGAGCATATTAACCCTCAGGAAGGGTGGAAAGGACCAGCTCCTGCGGTGTCAGGCCCAAGTGCAACGCGTCCTCTGTTCGTTCCTTTTCCCCTGCTCAAAGTTCCTCCCCGACACCCACTGCTGCCTGGATTCTCCCCACACTGAGCTCTTCCGCATCCAGGCCCCCTTCCCTGATTTCTTCCTGGGGAGAGGCCCTGGCCCGGCTTAGGGGCCCATCCAACCTTCTGCGGTTACGAGCTTCCGGATGCCAGCCTGACTCTGACTCCATCCGCCCGCTGTTTCTGGGCCTGTTTCCTCCCTTGGGGAACGGGCAGTGGGACAGTGCTAGCCTCTAGGGGGACACGAGTTAGCTCTGGGAGCGGCAGGCGGGGCCGGGTCACCCCTAAGGCTCAGACTCCTGTGGAGAGAACCCAGTCCCAGCCCGCCAAGGGCCCCAGGAAGCCGAGGCCAGTCCTGCGAGCCCCACTTCTGGAGTGCACGCGGTGAGGATGGGGCTTCATGGGGACCGGAGCCTGGCATGCAGCCCTCAGGTCACCGCTGTCCCAGTCACACTGGTGGGCCTCGTGTCCTTGCAAAGTCCCATGGAGGAGACCAAGTCCAGGATGGATAAGGGGGAGTTCCAGAGGCTGATGGGGCCGAGTCTGGAGCCCAGCCCCACCCCACCCTGGCTGTGTGGTCTTGGAGAAGCCCCCAACCCTCTGGCATGTGCCATCTGCACTCAAGTTCTTCACGGTCCCCCCACCCCATCCTCACAGGCCCCACCTGCCAGCCCACCAGGAACTGACTCCTCCACGTGCCGGTGGCCCCTGCAGCTGACACTTAGCCCTACCTCAGGAGAGTCCGGGTGCTGAAGCGGGGGAATGGGAGACGGCCCCCTGGACAGCAGGCTCTCTGCACTGAATGCGACTCTGCAGGAGCTGTCTGCTCCCCCAGGTTTCTGGGTCACTACACAAGCCCACCTGCCCCAGGTCAAGAGCACAGGTGAGATCCAACAGCGCATGCTGGGGGATCGAGGCAGGGCCTTCCAGACAAGCAGCACAAGGCCCTGCCCTGCAAGCCCCTTGGCGGCAGCCACAGGGTGGACCCCCCCCCCCCCGCCCCGACTCCCCCCACCAGCCCTGGCCCTCCAACCCGGAGCAGAGCCTTGTGAGCAGGAACCGCACGCAAACCTCTCTCAGCACTTTGTCTTTATTTCACACGGCTGGGAGGCGCCTCTTGTTCCAGGCCTGTGGTCACGTGTCCAGGGGCCTGGAGAGTGGGCTGAACCTGAGAGGAGCCCCACTGGTGATCCCCAGGCTGCGACTGTTGATCTGTAGCGGGACAACCCAGGCCTTGCCCTCCCTGCTGGTGAGCGGGGTCCTCCTGAGTCGCTGGCTCCTGTGCTGCCTCATCAGGGCAGTGCCAAGGGCGGCCTCCTACAGCCTCCGGAGTCCAGGGCGTGGTGGACAGAGGAATGACAGCCACACTGGAGTCTCCCTGGGACGTGAGGTCTCTGGTGCCCCGGGTGGAGGCTGCCCCCACTTCGTGTCCTGGCTCAGCCGACAGCCTCGATCCCCACGGATGGCTGCCGTGCTCCCTCAAATGCACCGTGGCCAGGTAGCCACCAGCCAGGCCAGAGCATGAGTCCAAGAGAGACTGAGGCAGTCAGGTGGCCCAAGTGTCCAAACCCCTGGTGCAGGGTCGCACTTGGCGCGGGCGGGGCTGAGCCTCCGAGGTGGGCAGCTGTGTGGGCGGCCTCCGAAGACTCAGGTACAGGTTATGAAGGAGATGCAGGGCGTTAATATAAAAGTTGGTACACACACAAATAAAAAACAATTTGGTCTTCCGTTAAGGCTGTTACAGTTTAAAGTTATGTAAACCACGCACAAAGAAACAGTTACTGTAAAAAAAGTACAAAATGGGAGGTGGGAGACGGGCCGCTGGCCGATTGGGTGCTGTGGGCGGGCACATGCGCGCGGCGTGGGGGCTCCGCGAGGGCGGCCTGGCCTCAGCTGGCCTCTCCCCACTTGGACTCTGCTCTAGGAGCCGGTGCCCACCCCACATCGCTTTTGGGGCTTTTCATTCCGGATCCTTCTTGGAGAGCCAAATGCTGGCTCTGGGCTGTCCTCAGACGTGCAGACTCTGGCAGCGGTGGGCCCTCAGCCATTGGCCTGGCCCGAGGCGGGCGGCAGGCAGTAGGTTGGGGGGTCCGAGTACCTCCGCTTGGCCCCAGGTGGCTGGCTGTCCTCGTCTAGGGGCTCCTGAATGCCCCGCACGGGCAGGTGGGCATCGGGCGTGATGTACACGGAGTGTACCTGGTCTGGGCGGCGGGCCGGCGGCTCTCGGCGCCTGACGGGGGCAGTAGCCTCTGGGGCACCCGGTGCCCGGCCGGGGAGGTGGAAGGAGAGGTGGAAGGGCAGGCCGGGTGGGAGCTTGATGTTGGCCGTGGGCATGATTGGGGTCCGCCGGGGGGTCTTCCCTCTGACCGTCGCGAAGGACGATGGCCTTCGTCGTGGAGGGGCGGCCACTGCGGGGAGGGGGTTCAGGGCGGGCGCACTGGGGCAGGAGAGAGCAGGCGCAGGGGGCCCTTTTGAGAGACAGATGGCGGGGTTACTGCAGCTTCAGGGCCGGCAGATGGACCCTCATCCCGGGGCCGGCTGGCGGTGGACATGGGAAGGAAAAAAGCAGACGCTACCTTAATACTGACCTTCCGAGGCCCCCCGCCCGGCCCGCTCTTCCAACAGGCTCTCGGTGCTGGCCGACGTCTCCGAGTCCAGATTCTCCTCGTCAGAGCCCCTCGGGTCCAGCTCTGGCAGCCGGTAGGTGATGTCCTCCCTGGGGGGGTGGGGAAGGGCACAGTGTCCAAGGCTGTTCCTATGGTGAAAGACCACCCCAGGGAAAGTGCCAGGCGGGTAGGGGACAGAGGCAGGCCATCCTGATCCTGGATGGAACTCCCTGCCCCCGGCACCCCACCCAAACCCCCACAGCACACCTGGCCCACACTGTCCCTGGCCCTGTGATGCTCATGGGAGGAAGGTGTCAGGGTGCTGAGGGAAGCCAGGCACCTGGGCCAGGACTGAGTTGGTGAGGAGCTCCTGCCTCAGGACCTTTGCGTGTGTTTCTTCCCTCCACCTGCATTGCTCTACCCTGTTCCTAGGGCTAGGGTGGCCAGGCAGCCCGGGTCACTTCTGTTGTCCTGGCAGCACCCCCTTGACATTCACATCTTGCCTGGACAATAAATTCGTCAGTCACCCTAGCTAATGCCAACTTCCAGACAAAGTTCGGGCATCACTCCTCTGTTGCCTCTTCTCCCCGTGGTTCCCTGTGGCCAAGCATGGGGTTTAAACAGAGCCCTAAGTCGTGCTCTAGGACAGCGGCACTCTGCGAGGTGGGTCCTGGACGACGGCACGAGCCTAGCCGGGCAGCCGGCTAACGGCCAGGTCCCCTGTGGCGGAGGGGCCTGTGAATGGGGCCAGACCGTGTGGGAGGGTGCGAAGGGGATGGAGGGGCACTTGCTTCTCCTCCTTGATGGACTGGATCCGCTCCATGAGGATCTCCTTCTCGCGGTCCTCGTCGCCGCCGGCCGCCTCCTCCTCCGGCAGCACCTCCAGCTCCTCTGGGCCGCCGCTGCTGTTCCCCCGGGCCTTGGGGCTCTTGTTCTGCAACAGAGAAGCGGCAGGTCTGGCCGGCCCCTCCGGGCGGGCGGATAGGCAGGGCTCACTGCCGGCGGGTGGAGAGAGCAGTGTGAGCGCCAGGAAGGTTAGTTCTGCCATGGGTGGCTGGGCTTAGTGAGGCTTCTCCAGGGGTCACGTAGGGCCCGGGTGGCCAGTGCTCGGCTGGTTAGTCATCCTTCTCACACAGGTGGTCAGCAGGCAACGGGCCTCCCCCAGCATGCACTTCAGAAAGGTCTATCCTACAAAGGCCCTAGGGCGAGGGGAACCCTAGCATGCACCGCTCCAGGAGACATGCAGGGCAGGCCGCTACGCACGTACATACCAGCACCCCCTCATAGGGAGACGAAAACCCCAGCTGGAGAGGCCATGGCTGGGGAAGAGATGAACAGAGGGTGACCACTGGGGGCCATGACCCCGACACAGGTGTGCATCATCGGCATCTGGCCACATCCGACCGTAGGGACAAGGACATAGCCCTCCCACAGAGTGCAGAACCCACTTCCCACCCTCCACCCTGCACCGTGGAGCCACTTCTGCTGTGGGAACACTTCCCTGTGGGCAGGGCCCAGGTCAGCAAGAGACAGGCCAGAGGATGACCCAAACCACCACCAAGTGGGTGACAGGTCCCTCGAGGACGATGGGCATTTGGCCGAGGCGGGGACTCGGTTTCTGAGCCTGCTGCCGTGACGCCCCTGGCCAACTGCCTATGGCCAAGGGTGTCCTGGGAGTCCAAGCAGTGAAGCGGGACCAGCCCTAATGCCCGAGCCCCGCCCCACCAGAGGCCGTGCCCACCGTGGGCCCGTCACACACGCTCGTCACACACGCTCACAGTGTTCTGGCGCAGGAGCGAGAGTCTCCGGACGGCGATGCTCTCTGCGGTCTCCAGCTGGCTGATCTCCTCCATCTTCACCTTGTACTTCCTCAACTGCTCCTTGATCAGCATCTCTACACACCTGTGGAGAAGGCGACTCAGTTACCGTTCCAGGGGTTGTGGGTGTGGGAGCCCCTGCGTCCAGGGAGGCGCTGGCTGGAGACTGGGGAGCAGTGGCCGCGCAGAGACCCACCCAGAGACCAGACAGGGCCAAGGACACGGCTGTGGCTCCGGCCTCAGCCCTGCTCACTCACTGTGTGACCTAGGGCAGCTCACTCCACCCCTCTGAGCTTGAGTCCCTACCTCCAAAGCCTTGTTGTATGAAAGAGGAGGGCTG